CATCACTTGTAAATTAAATCCGTATCATTTTTATTGTTACGTATAGGATGCCGTCAATAGAAAGTCAGATTGACATTAAATTTTGAAGCAATTTTGATGATTTAATTGTCAAAAGAAAGCTTGCATTTTAAGCTCCTTTTAACATTAAATGATCAAATTCGCTAGCTAAGCCCAAGGGCATAATTATGAAATCCTTGTTGCTATTTAACGTTAAGAGAAAATCAGAATAGATATATGATATATAAGGTTAAGGGCGTTCTCAAGATCAATTAATAAACTTTACTTGATCGAAAATATCTTAAAGGGGTCAAATACAATGAATTATTAAATAAACATCGTAGTTCGATAAAGTTTATCAAACCAACCATATTAAAATGGATTCTGAGATTCGATTTATTTCAACTTGCTCATCTTTCGGATTTCATTACTTTGTAAACCAACCATATTAAAATGGATTCTGAGATTCGATATATTTCAACTTGCTATCTTTCGGATTTCATTACTTTGTAGACATGCATATCCGTAAAATTATATAATAATTCGTTATATCGAAATATGTATATATATGTATACATGGTCTTGGGTTAGTAAAAAAGTGTTCAAATATGTATGGATATAAAGATTTACTACGTATTTAAGTTCGATTATATATCTTTATTAGCAAAAAAATAATGTTATTTTATCATTTCAATTTCCAAACATTTTACAGTAAACTATCTTTTTATTATCCCTGGCTTGACAAAATTTACAATTGAGTGTTCAAAGGGATCGTACAAGTAACCTTATCATTCAAAAACTGAATATTAACGAACTAAACGTAGTGATAATGACAACAATGGATGACGATTCTCGCGATAATAACCTTATCACGACGTTAGTTGTGCGTCAGGTCATGATATGGCGAAGTTACTAACGATCACTTTTTTGAGTCTTACACCAAACTAAATTGCTGTATTTTTTAATTCATTTTATTAAAAAGATTAAAAAGATAAAATAATGATCATATCATAAATAGCATATTTATTAAAATGTTTCAAACATTCATTTTTATTAGCATTTGTAATTCAGTGTACCAAATTGTGCATTGGTGCACCTACTTTAATAGTTTTTTTTACTGGAGATCCAAATAAATAGCAAATAAATTTGTCAGATGAATTTGTCAGATTAACATAAAATCTTCAATAACTTCTTTGTTAAACGGAAATCTCCGGTATTTTGTGCACTGTTGCAGTTATAAAAACTTTTGCCGATTATGGTGCTACGCTATGTCATATCCGTAGATTATATAGGAATTACTATTTAAAATGTATATTATCTTTAATAATTCATTTTTTGATGATTTTACGAACAAAATGACCAGTTCGATAATTCTCGATTATACAAAATAGATCGGTAAATCGAAAGTTACTCATCTTGAAATTTAAGGCAAAAAAAAGCACAATTTCTCAAATCCATAGAAAATCCGACATGTAACACCCGAAGAACGATAAAGTTATTTCGCCAATACTAATATAAGTGCTAACATGTTTACGTGTTACACTCATTTAGATAATCATAGGATCGGAACAACAATCTGTATTAAGAGTTATGTAATTAAAAATTTAACAGTCACAAATTTTAATTGTGATAATGGTAAATCAGAGATAATTATTTACATACCCTGAAATTCATCATTCATTACTATCATTATGGTTTTCAAAAATGTGATATCACGCGAATAAGGCAATTTAGATTCTCTGAAATTCTCCGTTATTGTCAATCACAAGATCACACATTTTGTAAGCACCATAATATTCTCGATTGAAAGTCGAAAGAGAATCCGCCAAAATTGATTTTGATGATTGATTCTAAGGACCCAGGCAAATAGTTGCATATTGTATAATATCACAAAATTTGTCATTACATATGATCTAGCCATATTCGATCCAGTTATATTCCGTTTCAGTGAAACAAAGCGGCAAAGTTACTATGAAATAGATTGTGCGTACATATATGTATATACAAGATTGTATACATATTGGCAGACTTTAAGATGGTAAGTTTTGAAAGGAATTGAAAGGGACTTAATGATTATGTGTGGCTTTCTCAATATTAACCATGATACTACTATAAAGTTTTCCGTCTAAAAATAACCAATGAACCCATCATTAATCAAGTATGTTACATTGAGGATTTAATCGATTCCTTGTGTGCCATTTCAGTCCATTTTGCAGAACATTAATGACATATGCTACATTTAACACCAACAATATCTAAACGATTCATCGTATATTATTATTTATCATATTTAAAAATATTTAAGCATGTGTAATTATTTAAAAGTGTACCCTGTTCCTGCGCAGCTAGGTACATGTACCTAATTATTTATATCAACATTCTATTGGTCAATTATATGCACAATTTTTTTTTTACGATAACTAGTCTTAACAATATATACTTTGTACTGTACGTACTGTTAACCTTGAACTACGTACAAGTAGTACTACTTTGTTTTTTTAAGTTCGATACTATCACTCAGATTAATTATAATGGGTTGTCAGCATGGAGATTTACGGTGATTTGCAAAAGGGTACATGAAGATGCAGATGATCGTAATGACAAATGTATCAAAAAAGCCTATTCGACTTATTTATGTATGAAGCATAATTACTGTTTTGGAAAAATAATTACTGTTTTGGAGAATGATTACTGTTTTGGGCAAACTATTAACGCCCGGTAAGGGCACGTGCACAATTAATACTTGCCTATCAATATAGACATATTGCGTGTCAATGGACAAATAACTTATAATCGTTATCTATTACATTTTATCAGTTATGCTATGCATACTATCTTTATTAGTTATATTACGCTATCAGGACTTTAAATATCTCTGCACCAGTATTTTTGTATGACATTTTAGTGAAGTATAGGTAGGTATGTACGTGCGTACTTTACATTTTAACTGTATGTACTTGTGTAAACCATTCACGCCAAGAAAGCAAGCCGTATTTTATGACCAACAAATGTGAAGAGGGTGCATAATGCAAAAATAAATAAAAAAAACGAATGTTTTTCACGAAAAAATTAAAAATGTTGCTCACAAAATTTTATCACAAATAGCTAACCTAACCTAATAGGCTTATTCAAATCAAAAACAAATTATATTTAAACATTGCTATGATATGTGAGTAAATCAATTTCGTATAGTATATAAAAAAAGTTCAAAATGCAACTTACCAATTAATTTTCAAGTTGATGTTTATTTGCAATGTTATTTATAAAATAAAGTGCGAAACTTTCATAACTTTATTATACGTAAAAATTTAAACCTAACCAAAAGCTCATTTCATGGTTGAATTGATTAAATTTATGATAAAATTATATAAATAATGATGCGTACGTAAAGTTTAATAAAATATTAAATAATAAATTTAATCTTATTTTTGTGTTACATAAGATCAAATTTTAATGTCGTTATTTTGAATTATCTAAATCAATTACCCCACTCTAATATTTCTTTGAGAAACGGGTTATTTATTGTTATTTGTTGGTTATGCCTTTGCTCGTGAACCGCCACATTGCTTTTTGACTAAATCAGTAAAGATTTTCATTTAAATTTTTACTTATTATGTGCGCTATATGCACCTTTTAACAGTTTCGCCACCTTTCGCCATTTCGCCATTTAAATTTTTTTTGGCAAAGGCTTAAACTATGTTTCATTATTCGTCTATAATGAAACCTCTAAGTTTCTCCGCTAACACTATTTCGTCAGCAGCTTCGTCAATCATTAACAGCTTCGTCAGGCACTTAATTTGAAAAATAGTTTTATTAGCTGTAATGAAAGTCGATTAAATAGCATTACGTATGTGATGCTGTTACTTACCTATAGGATCTTGCACTGCTACCTATGTAGCATAATCACTTAAATATGACATTTTTACAATGCTTGCGGTAGCCATGGTGACTAATCACAATATGAGGTCCTTGCGCTGCTATCGCATTTGCAGAGCTTAATTACCAAACATGAAGTTCTTGCACTGCCTGCGGCAGCAATAGAGCCTAATTACAACACGAGGTCCTTGCTTACTCACGAGATGAAGGCCTTATACTTCTATCATAGTTGTGAGCTTAATCACCAAGCATGAAGTTTTTACGCTGCCTGCAGCAGCCAGATTTTTGGCAATAGATAATATTTATTTTTCCGCTTAATGATCACTTCCGACCGTTGTCATGTGATTAAATCTGTACGCATAAATAATAGAATGTAATAATCACCATTATCAAGTAAGGCATAATTATAACATTATTATTACATATGATGTTTGATTTAAATTTAATGAGTGATAATTAAGTACTAAGTGAGTGAAAAGCTCCTGATGGACCTTTTTTTAATTGATTTTTGATCATCAATTTAATATTTATACCACTATTTTGAAATATAATAAATAATAATAAATTTGTTATTGGCAGAGATAGTAAAAAAAAAAAAAGTCCTTTCCAGGGATCATTCACCCATCTAATATATTTTTTCAAGATCTGATAATTTAAATATAAATGCATAAATGTTTATATAAATTTGTTATATGATGTACTAGCACGATACAATATATACACCCATTGCTAACTTCTTTTAAGCAACCCAAGCGCCTAGTTTAAAATTAAGTATTTATTAGTTGTGTAAAATGTTATACCGAATATCTAATGCATACATATATATGAAATGCATATGTATATACTATTATACTATTTAATGTAAACACGTAATTGAAACAATAAACTATTCACAGTTGGAATAATATAAACAATATATATAAGCCAGTATATGTTGTACATACATATGCATACACATACCGATACACGTATACACATTGTGAAAAAGTCTTTATTTTTTTAATAGCAAATTATTATACGACCTGCATTCATTTTACTATTGTTAAAAATATAAATATATATAACATTTCCTTTTTCTTACTTTCCCTTAATAATAATTATGATCAAAATCATCTTAAATATTTAATATGGGATGTTTACATTCTAAAAATTCAGGCGATAAAAAAAATGTCAAGTCTATCAATTTACAAAATAAAAAGACTGAATTTAGATATGATGATGGTAGAAGATTTTATGGTATAAAAGACGCTATATATCATCTACCAAATGATGAAGATGAACAAGATAGACTACATTTACAACATTTCCTGATAAGATATCTCTTCCAAAGCAATTTTTCTTCCCCCATCGAACATATTTTGGATAAACCTGGAACAAAAATTCTCGATATTGGGTATGTATTTATTATAATTTTTATATAATTATTATATTTGTTAGTGAGTAATTATATACAAAGCATTATCAGAATCTATTCATTTAACCATCATTTGTCATCATCTTTCATCATTTATCTATTATTGTGATTTGTATAATCTACATACCTCATGTTATTATCACATTATACCGAACTTGCAATTTAAGTGTCATCATTCTTTGATTAAAGGATTTTCATTAGTTTATTAATTCTTCTAAATATAATGAATTTATCATAATTATTTTACTGCCCCTATTATAAAATTATATGATTATATGATTATATGATATTCGTGAAATAATCAAAAATACGGATACATTCTTGACATATTAATGTAATTGATCCTTCAAAAAAGATCTTTATATTTATCTCAATTAACAGACATTTGACAGACAATTCAAAAGAACTCAATTTCTATTATAAGAAATTATAATTATATTCAGAAATGTTTTGTTAAAAATGTTAATATCATATTCTTTATTTTATTTATCATAATTTTAGATGCGGTCCAGGGTCATGGTCATTTGACATTGCGACCACGTACGTGTGTTCTCTATATTTTTCTATTCATACTGTAATTATTAACATATTGCAAGAAAAAATAAATGTTTATAATGTTTATTAGCTATCCATTCGTCGAAGTTATTGGATTAGATATGTCTCCACACCAACCATCCTATATAAAACCTAAAAATTTCACTTTCATTAAAGCAAATGTTTTAGAAGGATTACCTTTCGAGGATAACACTTTTGATTTTGTATTCCAACGATGTATGATTTTTGGTTATCCTAATGAAGAATGGCCAAATGTAATGAATGAGCTTGTCAGAGTTTTAAAACCTGGTGGTTATTTAGAGGTATATTTATTCGTAAATTATTTTTTATTTTTAAAAGACATTTATTTTTTTTTTAATTAAAATCTATTTTATTTAATCAAACTTTATTTTCAAAAAGTTATGTGAACCTTCTCCGGTATTTAATATGGGTCCAACAAGTCAGCGTATATGGGAAGCTGGCACGTACCTTATGATTATTTGATAGCTTTATATTTTTATTTAGCCGACCAATATTTCCACACACCTTGTAAATCTTTTTTTTTTAAATCTTTGATCAAAGATGTCTTAACAAATATTCAATGAAAATTTGAATGAAGGTTTTTTCTTTTAATTCTATTGTTTTCTAGAATTTGAATGAAATTTTTTTACTTAAATTCTATTGTTTTATAGAATTTGAATAAAAAAAGTCCAACAGATCTCATTGCGTAGTTCTCGAGATATCATTAATAAAGTTCATCAAATTTTCATCTCGGTTTTCATTTTGATAGACGTTTAAAATTTTTTGAACCTTTAACGAAAATACCTCGACAGCTACCCAATGAAGTTTTTTTTATTTAATTATATGCTTTCATAGAATTCAAATAAAAAAAAAAAGGTTATCGAATTTCGTTGGGTGTTGTAGATTAAAGTCAGAAAAATTTTACGCAACTTATATTTGATAACCGAAGATGTCTCGATGAAATTTGATGAACTTTTTTTTTTTTTATTTGAATTCCATGAAGCCATAGAATTCAAATAAAAAAGTATCGAATTTCTTTGATCAAAGTTTTTAAAAACTAATCCATAGGAAGGTGTGAAAATATTAGTTCCCTTTACTATACTCA